CTAGAACTTCCACTAGAACATATTTCCACGCAAGGTACCAGTCACGTGAGGCATGAGATCTGCGTCTAATACTTATACTGTATGAAAAGCGGGATACAATGTGAACATCATTGTATAGAAATAAGCGCTGTATAAGCCCGAATAATGCCTATCATATCGTAGATGACCGAAGAAGCGAAGGATGTTATTTTGAGAATCATCTACCACAATCGTGCTGCTATAACGGCTAATGAAATAATGGTAAGCATGGTGAATCCTTCTTTGATATGATTGCATAAAAATCAATCTTTAACTGTAAAATTCAATGTTGCCAAGCATGAGACCGAGTGTCTCCTCTCCTTATCCACTTGAATGCTCGTGTTTCCAGGCTCTTAGTCCATGGGCAATTAAAGCATTGGTCTCTGCAAGAGTGAGCAAGCAAGTGAAAATTGCTTTAATCAACATCAGTGTGAACTGGTGAGCTTGTGGAGAAGCTTGCATTTCCCGCATACTTGCGCATCTTATTCTGCAGGCTGCGGCATCCACGAAATCTTCCATATGCAACATCTGTCTTGCCTCTTATCACCATTGATCAAATGCATGAGAAAGAAATGACTGCTTTTCAGCAAACACTGAAAACTGTGAGTTTCCATAAGCTAGGGCTATGAAAGTTAAGAGAACTTACGGTTAAATCAGGCATTTCGCTTCTTTAGTGTGTTTGATAGCTTTCGTCACTTAGCCAGAACTTTGAGGGGATTTTAACCGAGATTAAGGGTACAGCATAAATACGGTGACAAAATAAGTTGATCACTCCTGAGTTGGGTAGGAGAAAGTGGAATCGACCGTAACAGCAATTGGCCACGTCCTAGCGAACAATGAACTTGATAACTTGTCTTGAACCCCTGCAGACTGCGACTCTTGCTTCAGATACACTTTTCAAAGCATTGTCTCATGCTTTTATGTACAAGTGCAGCCTTTAGAGATCTTGTTGAAGTGTGTTGTCTTGGGAGAACTTTCTTCGTCCAAAACGATATCGAGTAAGCTGGCATAGCATCATATTGTTAGTCACAATTTCACAACGTTTGTTGTTGAATCCAGGCATCCTGAAAAATAATTTTAGGTCCATTACAGCTTGAGCGTCTAAAACCTGCCGCCCTTTCATACAATATGGCACGTCATTTCAAGCGAATTTTCACATTTGTACCTTCTGATAGATTTTACTCATAGTCAATCATCATCGATATCATCACCGAATATCATCGATAACCTTATGTCGCATGCAATGGTTACGTATTTACAGCTCAAAATCCACGGATTTGATGTAAGGCGGCGGCGCCTGCAAATTCGCTCCACTCACCCAGTCGAATTTCAAGGCACACTTATAAACTGCGCATTCCTTCGGGCTCATTTACTAATTGTTGTGAACGGTCCACCTCTCCATCGTAAGGCGCTAAGTATTATCCTTTCTAGCAACTGTTATTTAGCTGGTTATGTACCCCCGGAGTACGGCTGCTCTCTTAAAGGAATCTTCCACGGAAAAAGCTCCGCCCTCATTACCACAGAAAACGATACCTTAAAGGAATCTTCCACGGAAAGAGTGATCATTTTGTCTTGTGTGTAGGATTAGTATTATCGAAACTAACGCTTATGTTCCGTTCTTTTTGCTATGCTCATGAGGCTAGGGGCCTAAGGGTATCGTTTTCTCTGGTAATGGAGGCGGAGCTTTTTCCGCGGAAGATTCCTTTAAAGGCAATGCGGCTCGGAACCACCTAATAAGCCCTTAAAGTGGCTAGAAGTGCATGGGACGCAGCTGCAGGCGACTCGCCAAGTTCCCGCATCCAAATGCGTCACTAAGGCGCTAGAAGCCAAGGACTTTGACACGCTCCTCCTGTTGCGACACGCTCCGCCCACCGCTCGATATTTTGTCTGCGTGGCAATGCTGATCCCGCTTCGCCGATGACCACTGAGATCTAACATCTGAGAGCGCTCCGCTGCTCCAACTACGCTTAGCCACGATACCTCGCACTCAACGAAAAACAAGGCCTGCCCGGAAGAATATAGAACACATTCTCGCACGAAGAAGACATAGACGCAATCGAGCAAAAGGCCGTATATCTCATGGTGATATCCAGGATTTTCCGCCTGGTGTCTCACACACCAGGACTCGTCACCCTTATCCTCCCAAGCCCGCTGCCCTCATCACATTTGATAATCATCCACAAATTCACTTCAGTAAAGCTTGAATTCTGCGTGCCCTTGAGACGAAGCCGACATACGGAAGTTGAAGGCCAGGACTGTCCTGCATTCCTTTCAGAGAGTCAGCAGATAACCATAGACCAAAGACTCACGAAAAACCTAGCGCTAAGTATATTGAGAGCTACTCTCACCAGAAAAGAAAGCCTACAACGAGCATGGTGATCAATCTTCAGTCATTTTTGCTAACTGCGCTTAATGAAGCTCAATCATGTCACCTGACTTATGACGTGATCTAGTTGAAGAGGGGATCTAGTTGCCTGGATTTTGGGCACCCATTGCGCATTGAATGACCCATGACCAACTTCGATGGATCTGATACATCTTCGAGTCACGCAACAAGAGAATATACCACAAACTCTGGAACAATATAAGATTCAGGCTCTTCGCAATCCCTCAACTAGACAATCAGTCACAGTGTCGCTAGATAATTCTGGACGTCCAGTCATCAGGATGGATAGACACAGCTTCCAGAAAAACGCCGGCAAAACCGTGGAAGAGTAAGTCTCACATGTTTGGAGCAACGAGATACTGCTCATTTGAAAGGTGATGTCATAGAAACAATGTCACACGGCTATCACGAATTGAAACAATGTAACCCTCTTTGCCTCATAAAGGGTCAACCATGAATACACTAAAAAAGTTGTTATGCAAAATAAAATTTCGAATAGAGCACAATGAGTCCACAAAGGTGTTGACTTGCATAACAAGACATGAAAGCAAGAGGACTTGGCTCTGGTGCGGTTACAGCTCGTTATGCTCTCGACAAGGCTCTACGGCAGCTTCCAGTGTTTCTCAAAGAGTTTAGCTTAGGCTTTAATTAATGACTTCTTCAAACTTGAGAAATCTTCGCAGTGTGTCTCATAGCGTACGTTCCGTTCATTAGAACAGAGGTCAAATAACGCTGATGTCGCAAGGCTTCAAATCAGTGAGACTCTAAATTGACTTTGGATACATTAGCGCGGCTGGGCTTGAGGATTTCTTGTATGTGTATCAGTCTATCGGTCGGCCGATCTGCTGAAAATCTTGATGTGATAATGGGAAGCATACGAGAAATCAAACAGATTCCAAAAACCCCCTTGATTTCGCGATATCAAGCGAGCGTGGTGTAGTGGCTGCGATTGCACTCTAACTACGCTGAACCTGGTAGCAGCCACTCCACATGGTGGGGACTTGCCTTTGGCAGGAAACTGGGAACACGGGCACAATCCGTGGAAAACGCTTTTTAGTGATATGATAAGAATGTTTAAATTTTTATACATATCACCAAAAGAACTTATTTGATGCGTTGGGATTTTGGTAGGTTCCTATGTCAGGTTTAGTGTTGTCATCCTACTATATATAACGCGCTAAGCGCGTTGTGTGTAGTGTCTGTCTTACCGTAAAATCATAGCGCTCTTGAATGTCAACCAGTGGAGCGCCTGCTATTTTGAATAATGTTGTGGGCCCGTCAAACGGGGGACGTGAACATATTTGGCGGGGGAACCAAAGTGATAACGACTGAGTAAGATTCCGATAAGAGGCGCCAAAACGCCGATTCACGATATCCATAGCGCGCGTCCCAGCATCAGTGAGGCGTTGGTTCCAAGAAGTGATGTGGAGGGTAGGACGGGAACATCTTTGGTGGGGGACGCAAAGTGATAACGACTGATAAGACCCGATAAGAGGCGCCAGAACGCCAATTCTGCGATATCCATAGCGCGCGTCCCAGCATCAGTGAGGCGTTGGTTCCAAGAAGTGATGTAGAGGGTAGGACGGGAACATCTTTGGTGGGGGACGCAAAGTGATAACGACTGATAAGACCCGATAAGAGGCGCCAGAACGCCAATTCCTGCGATATCCATAGCGCGCGTCCCAGCATCAGTGAGGCGTTGGTTCGAAGAAGTGTGGGGGGGGGGGTATGACGGGAACATATATGGTGGAAAAAAGAAAGGGATAACGGCTGATAAGGGCCGATAATAACGATATGCGCAAGAATATAGAGGTCACTCAAAACCAGACTTTAGATAAAGCATTTCATTTCAATATTCTTCCATTTGCGTTGTTATCATCAGCCCGAAATACCACTAAACCGCTATGCCCCCCAGAGTTCCTAAAAATGTATGGTGTAAGTTCAAAAATACGATAACGAGTGCTGGATGTTTATATTTTAACATCACACACAATCCGACCGCTAAATTACACTGGCATTCGATGCATGGTGGTTGTTTACAGACACCACTTTAGCTCCGCACTCCACTGCGCGTATCAAACGGTGAGCTTCTGCTAAGATAAAGAGCCTATGTTAGCGGTGAATCTAGCGCTTTGTCGGCTGTCTGTCTCATCCCGACCTTCCGTTTAATGCGCGCGGTAGCGTGCGGCGCTAAACTGGTGTGTGTGATATTGGAGGTGCCTGGAGAAATGAAAAACAGGAAACAGACTAGCCTCGCGTAACAATGTGAAGAACTGTTGTGAAAGTGACTACGTCGTACTGTGAAAGACATTAAATTCATATTTGGGCGCAATGTGCCTCGGTGGGGGGACCAGTCGCCGCGCGCGGCCGTGCGGCAACAGGAAATTCGTGAGCCAGGGGGAGGTGTAGCCAATTCAGGGGGGTTGGGGGTGAGGGCAGTCACATGACATGCGTGAGAAGCTGGAATGTTCGAATTTCCTGTTGCCGCACAGCCGCGCGCGGTGACTGCCCCCCCCCCGAGGCACATAGCGCCGCTATTTCTT